GAACAGAAGGGAGCTTCCTCATTTGATAAGAGTATTCACAAAAACCATCATACCAAAAAGTAACGTATGCCAGGCATGGTGGCTTGCACCTATAATACCAGCTACTCAGAAGGCAGAAATCAGAAGGAATGTAATTGAAGACCAGCCCAGGCAAAAATGGGTTGGTTGAGCCCCATCTCAACCAATGGCTGGGCATGATGGCATGCACCTATAATCTCAGCTACACAAGGAAGCATATACAGGAAGACTACAGTCCAGGCTGGCCAGGGCATGAATGTGAAGCCCTATTCGAAATATCGATAGCTATCAAAAGGGCTAGAGGTGTGGCTCATGCGGCAGAGTGCCTGCCTGGCAAGAGCAAAGACCCTGTACCCCCCCATAATATACTGAATGCTTTCCCTCTAAAACAGTAAACAAGGCAAGGATGTTCGCTTTTATCATTTATATCATAGCAGTCATAGTCATTGCAGTAAGGCAAGAAAAAGAAATAACCAGCATAGAGATTGGAAGAGAAGAGATAAAACTGTGTGACTGCAGATGACATGAGTACTGATGTATAAAATCCTAAATAATCTATAAAACTACTATTATAACTAATAGGTGAATTTGGCAAGGTTACAAGACACAAGGAAAAAAAAAAAAACACATACAAACTGTAAACCGAGCATAATGATAAGCACCTGAAGTCCCAGGTACTTCGGAGGTTGAGGCAAGAGTGTTACTTGAGCCCACAAGTTGGAGGCCAGCCTGGGCAATATAGCAAAAGCCAGTCTCTAAATTAAATAAATAAACAAATCTGAAAAATAAAATTTAAAAAAATAGAATTTTAAAAAATTCTACTTTCAATAGCATCAAAGACACTAAATACCTAGGTATATGTGTGTGTGTGTGTGTGTATATATATATAATATATATATTATATATATTTTTTTTTTTTTTTTTGCAGTACTGGGGTTTGAACTCAGGGCCTAGGGTCTCCTAAACTATTTTGCCCAGGCTGGCTTGGAACTGCAATACTCCTGAGTATTTAGGATTACGGGCCTGAGCTACTGGCGCCCAGCCCTAGGAACAAAATTTAACGAAAGCCACTCAAGGCCTTTAAATGAAGACTTTAAACCATTTCTGAGAGCCTGATAATCAGAATTACAAATAGAGACAAATATCATGTCCACTTGAATTGTTGTTTCCCTTAGCTGCTCTGTTTTCAAAGCTTTTTCTTTCTGCTTAGTTTTCATTTTGACATGTTTGATTTTTGACATGTCTGGGTGATTTCCTGGAGTTTATATTATTGGGTTTACTCAGCTTCTTAAATCTGTAGTTTTATGTTTTTCAATCAAATGTTGGAAATTCCAATTTATTATTTCTTCAACCATTTTTTAGTCGTACATTCCTTCCCCCTTACCATGTATATTATATCTTTCATTATTGTCCCAGAGGCCCCTGAGATCAGGTTCAATTTTTTTTTCAGTCTTTCCTGCTTGGTTAGTTAGACTGGATCACTATCAAGTTATCTTCAAATCTACTCTCTTCTCTCTTCCAGTGAATTTTTTGTCATTCTTTTTTTTTCCCCCCCCAGTGCTGGGGGATGGAGCCTGGGGTCTCACTCATGCTAGGCAAGAGCGCCACCACTGAGCTTTATCAATTACTGTATTTTTCAGTTCTAAAATGGTCCATTTGGTCTTTTGGGTCCTTTTTTTTTTTTTTAATGTTTTCTATTGCTTTGCTAATATTTTCTATTTTTCACTTGCTTCCACAGTGTTGGTAAATGCTCCTTGACACACTTTATTATAGCTGTCCTTGTCTGATAATTCTAACATCTGTGTCATCTTGGTGTTGGCATGAAGTAATTCTTTTCTCATTAGAGTTAGGATTTTATTAGTATAATGAGTAAGTTTTGACTGTACCCTGGACATACTGAGTTATTTTAGAAGAATATGGCTCCTTTTAAACCTGTTTTAGCAGATAGTTAACCTGTTTAGGCTCAGGATGCTTATGTCCTGGATTACTTTTGTGGATTGTGGTTCAAATGTTAACTTATTGTATAAAGCCTCCATAGTGCTATTCTAGTCTGATCCACTCACCTACAGTCTCCATAGAGCTAGCTGAGGAGAATAAGCACAAGCTCATTACTACATGATAAGAGAACAAGACAGTTGTGCCCACTGACCCAGGTAGAGATGGGCAATGTGTAATTAATGCAGGGGTAAGAAGGAGGAGTTAGAGCTCTAGCTTTGATCTCCTTCCTTATGGTAACAGCAGGTAGTAATAGTCAAGATTTCACCTACAGGTGCATGGCCGATAGGCATTACTACTAAGAGAGCCGGGGTAAAGGCAGAAATCAGTTTCAACATAGGCTCCATGGAAAAATAAAGACCTTGTTTCTGCTGGGAAAGGCATAAAACATTTTTAGCCTTCTGGCTCCAATGCAATATCTGGGGTTGGAGAGGAGTGCAGTTTTTTCTTCATGTATTCACCTGCAGAATAGCAGGTATAGTCAAAAAGGGTTTTGTGCAGTTGGATCACACTTTTCATAGTCCTTTGGCAGAAGAGAGCAGATTTTCTTGGGGATTTTCTTGTCTGGGTTCAGTTTGCTGAACACTCAGGCCAGAATACATAGAAAGCAAGGAAGCACCCAAGTAGTTCTCTGCCTTGTAGTTCTTTACATTCCAAGGTCCCCAGTATGTCATCTCTACTCACCTTTAAGAATCTTCTGTTAGGTGAATTTTGTACTGGAATTTTTGCTATAATTAGTGGAAGGAGTAAAACAGAATGTTTTTTGGTTCTTGTTCAGAACCAGAAGTTCTATTTTGTTTTAGCACTAAAAATAAAATGGATTGATGAGTGGAAGGTTGGAAAGATGGCTAGAAACATAATGAATGAGTATGGAAAAATGTTAATGGATTAGAATCTAGGTAAGAGGTATATGGGTCTAATCTGTAAAATCCTTTCAACTTTGCTTTATGTTTAAAGTTTTTCATAAGAGTGTTGGAAAGGAAATTGCTTGGTTAAATTCAAAATGCAGATGGATTTTTAAAAATTCTATACTATGCAAAGGGAAGAAAAGAATATCTGTTGAGTGAAAGAGATTTGCTTTAACCAGTAAGTTACCAGGTTAACTGGAACAAGAAGCTATTAGATGATAAAAGCTCTCAGAAAATGCTCTAGCCAGCAGAATAATACTACTCATTTTTAGTAGCTTATTTTGTCCAGTCTGGTCCTTAAACCTTGTCAGTTTTGCATCCCCTACAGTAATTTCATCAGTTGAGGTGCTTAAAGAAGATTTAATGTTGGAGCGGGACTAAATTCATTATTTAGTATGAAAATAAAAGAGAGTGGGCTATGTTGCAAACCAAATCTTTATTTCTGAAAGAACAGTCAAATCAACAGACAGAATAAATGCAAGGGTGCAATTTGAGGGGGAATTTGAGGCAGCTATGCTTTTGACTCCCTGAGTTAACTTTACTTGAACTTTGTGAAGACACAAAATGACTACCTCTATATTGTAAAAGGTTTTAGATAAGCAAGAACCCTGAATTTTCCTAATGTTCCCCCTCAGACACAAATGGAATACTGCCATATAATACATAGTAGGAGAAAACACAGGCATTGGATTAGGACAAATTTAAATCTAAATCTTGGTTCTATTTTCAACTAACTAAATGATACTAGGTCAGTATCTCTGTAGTTCTTTGTACCATCTGTAAAACAGAGTTGATGAATGCTGACATTAGGGTTAAATGATGAATATAAAATTCTCTTGCATATCTAGAAAGTTACTCAGGCACACATTTTCCTAATTTTAGGAATATGAACTGAAAAGAATAAGAGTTATTCTTTTCACACACTGATTAAAATTAATCAAGAGTCCTAGATGGGTGCAAAAGATTATGGTCCAATGGTCTCTTGTTCTTGTCAGACTGGCTTGGACAACACCTATCTCCTGGATCACACCTTAGCTCTTCTGTTTGCCAGTATATTCTGTGTCTAGGTTAAAACTGCCAGTTAAGGCTGAATACAGTAAGTCAGCAATAATCCTGGAAAATGCATAGGACTCTTCTAGGTTTTCTTCTAAAAACAGCTACCCTCAACCTGTCTGGCATACTTATAACCAAAATTTTTACCTTAATTTTGTGAAATCTGATGAACATGAACCTTTTCCTAGTAGTTGAAATAATATTTTGTGTTTTTTTAAATAGTTGCTCTAAATAAATATGTTGTTTAGTAATATGCCTAAGGCTCCTTTATTTTGTTACAAAATAATAATGAATACAGTAACTAGTAACTAACATTTGTACACTGATTCTTATTTACCTTGTATCTTTCACTGACACTGATTTTTCCCATTTGTTTTGATTCTCATAATGTCCTACTCTTTGGTACATTTTGTTTTGTTTTTGAGATGGACATCTAACCATGCCGCCTGGCTGGTCTCAAACTCATGGGCTCAAGTGATCCTCCTACCTCAACCTCCTAAGTACCTGGAACTATAGGCATGTATTATGATGCATGGCTCCATGAGCCACTATTAATCTCGCAGTTATGCCCTCAATTTATACAACTGACTCTCTCTATAAAATCCAACCTGAAGCACCATTTCACTATTCACAGAATAAATCCCAAATCCTGGCCTGCTTTATGCTCTATTTTCTGATTTGTTCTCCTTCAGCCCATTTCTTATCTCTATAATGATTTTCTTTATTTATACACTAATTTTACAACGTGGGATGTATCACTTGCCTTCTTCTCTGGTTCTGAATTCTGATTTCTCTTCTTAACTATATTTGCTCCATATACAGTAAATAAACACTGCCAGCCCTAGCTGCTGGGCACAGACCCTAGTGGCCAATACTTCCATACTAGTTTAACACACAAACACTTCTACCTTATCTAAGATTTCAATTTGTTCACGTTCAATGACCACAAAGAGGGATTTCACAGATATAGCAGTCAGGTTCCTTGTATTTCTTCTACTATTAATAATCATGGGCATTTTCATTTACCTCTGCCTTTGGCTCAGCTGATTCATTAGAGGTATCAAGTTGTTCCTTGGCCTGGGCCATCTGAGTCATCAACCTATCCATATGGGATTGGATGTCTGCCAGTATCTCAGTCACATGAGCCGTGGCCATTGCTTCTTGGATGTCTACTAGATGAAGGGCCTTTTGTTCCTCATCAGCAATCACTTTCTGAACTTTCTTAAATTCTTGCTGAATAAATATCTTCATCTGGTCCCGAGTTACCTGTAGAACATAAGACAAGTTAAGAATAAGCTGAACAAATACAAAGAAATGGAAGAGTAGAGTTATTGTAATGAAGTGCTAGCAGCCCTGGACAAAATAAAAAGTATGTATGGCTTCTGGCTGATCCTGAAATCTTGGGAATATTCTGTAAACAATGGTTTCTTAATACCTTTGATAAATTTCCTGCTAATCTTTTTGGCATTTTCATTGTTCAGGAATTAATTCTTTATCCTTTTGTTGCTTTTGGGTTTGGGCTTTTTTTTTTTTTGGCACTACTGGGGTTTGAACTCAGGATCTTATTCTTGCTAGGCAGGCACTCTACCACTTGAGGGTTTTTGTTTTGGTTTGCTTTTGCCTTAGCTATTTTTCGAGTAGGGTCTCATACATATATATGCTCAGACTTGCCTGGGACTGTGATCCTCCTATTTATGCTTCCCATAGAGCTGGATGACAGGAATGTGTTACCATGCCCAGCATTTTTTTTAAAACTGATTGAGACAGTGCAGGGACAAGCCTTAAACTGCAATCCTCCAGATGTCCACTTCCTGAGTTGCTAGGAGTACAGGTGTAAGCCACTGTGCCCGGCAGCTTTTGTTCATTTTTATATCAATAATATATAATTACTTTTAAATTTTTAATAGATGAATATCATAGTAAAAAAAATGCAATTCTTCTTTTCTCCTTAATCAACGTTAATAGTTTGGTATATATACTCTGCTATTTTCTATATGATTATATATATGCACGTATATAGAAATTCTATAGTTTTTATGTAAGTGGTTCACACTGAACATATGATTCTATGTCTTGCTTTTTCACTTAAAATATGTTAGTGCATACAGATTAGCTTCATTTTCTGTATTACTTTTACTATCTGTAAAATACAGAGATATGTATTACATCATATTTAGCAATTCCTTTCTTAATGGAAATACAGGATCTTTCCAATTTTTACTATTATAAATAACACAACAATGAACATCCTTGTTGGCAAACACAATAAGGTGATTGGACTTTGATCACAAGATAAAAGCGAGAGCACACAAGGGAGATAGGAGGATAGGTAAGACACCTAAAAAACTAGGTAGCATTTGTTGCCCTCAACACAGAGAAACTAAAGCAGATACCTTAAAAGCAACTGAGGCCAATAGGAGAAGGGGACCAGGAATTAGAGAAAAGGTTAAATCAAGAAGAATTAACCTAGAAGGTAACACATGCACAGGAAATCAATGTGAGTCAATGCCCTGTATAGCTATCCTTATCTCAACCAGCAAAAACCCTTGTTCCTTCCTATTATTGCTTATACTCTCTCTTCAACAAAATTAGAGATAAGGGCAAAATAGTTTCTGCCGGGTATCGAGGGGGTAGGGGTTGACAGGGAGGGGGCAGGGTAGGTGGTAAGGGAGGGGTTGGGGGAGGGGGGAGAAATGACCCAAACATTGTATGCACATATGAATAAAAAAAAAATCCTTGTTATAATCTTAATATTTATTCTGGAGTCACTGAGTCAATTTATATATACTCTAAAAATACTGAATAATACCACCAAACTGCCCTCCGAAAAAGATATGCCAATTACCTACAAAAATGCATGAAAGTAATTTCCATACATCCTTACCAATACTGGATAATATCAAACTTTTGAATTTTTTCTATCTGATAGCTGAAAATATATTATTTTATTCTACAACAATGGCAAATCAAATAAAATACAACTATAGGCACAAGATAGGCAAACAGATTGAGACACTACCAAAATAAGAACTTCTAAACATTCCAAATCTTGTCAGTAGCTACATTTATTAATAACAACCATGTTTACTTTATGAGTATTTTTTAAGTTGCATGTGGTTTTTGTTTTATTTTTTTGTGGTTCTGGGGATAGAATCTAGGACCTCCTACATGCTAACAAGTACTCTACCACTGAGCTCCTTCCCCAGTTTTATTAAGTATTTTTTTATTCTTCAATTTTATTTTATCATTTTTACATTTACTTACATGTGTATACATTATTTGGGCCACCCCTCCCCCACCAACCCGGCTTCCGGGCAAAACCTGTTCCACCCTCTTGAATTGGCACACATTAATAACATGAGACGATTTCATTGTGATAATTCCATACCTGTGTACAGTGTCAAGTTCATCCCCTCCATTATATCTCATTACCCCTTCAAACAGTGTTTGTGTGTGTGTGTGTGTGTGTGTGTATGTAGTATATATAGATATGTAGTGTACTTCAATTCTCATTTCTCAGTGTCCTTTCCTTTTCCCTAAAGTTTTTTTAAGTATTTTTAAACAACTATACATATTGATTGGGGGCAGGAAAGAGAGAGGCCAGGAGAGGGATTTTAGATCTGGAAGAGAATATAGCTGTCTAAGTGCACACCCTTTTTTTTTTTTTTTTTTACAGATATGGAAGTGGACATGGCAGCAAACTTGTAGGAGGAAAAACTCCAACCTTCTGGTAAAGATCTGTCTGGTGCTCTGTTCATGTAAGTTTTTCAGAGAGGAAATCAAACTGGGAAAACCTAAGCAAGAAGACTGAGGAAGAGAAAGGCTGGAGGGGGAAGGAGATGAGGCCATTTTTAGTTAATCTCTTTAAAACTGAAAGACATTTGACACATTAAACAGCTTTTGTAACACTGCCATAAGGATGGCAACACAAAAGAAAGACTACAGGACATGTACTGATTTGACATATCAAGTGACAAGGTAACATAAACTCTTAGGAATTCATATACTGTCTGCAGGTACTTTCCCTGGTGCTGGAGAAAAGGGGGGAAGGAATGTTAGATGTTACTAATGTCCTTGTGTATCAGCATGAGAACTATGGTTTGTATTTATGTAATTCCTTTTTATTTTTAGTGTATATATTTCAGGACTGTTTTATGGTAAGCATTTATTAATGCACCTTTACCCTTGAAATAAATTAGCTCTTAAGTGATCTAGAACCTTCTCTCAGACACCAAACTGGAAAAGTTTTCACTAATAGACAAACTTTCCTAAATGTGTGATAATCTCTTTAAATATCCTTAACGGTCCCACATGACTAAAAATGGAGATTTTTAATAAAAACTGGCTGTACTCTATTTTACTAGACTTCACATACACAATAGGTTCTGCATTAGGAAGCTGACATCACAGTCAGAAAAACTGTGGGTCAGAGGGCAGTGGATGAATTAAACCTGGGCTTTCAAAATTAAATTCTTTACTTCTCACTGCTTTCCATAGGTTTTCTGACATGACACTTTACCATATATATATATACAGAGCAGCCCACAAGTAAGAATTGAAGGCAGAATAAGGTACTCTATAAATAAAACCTTTATACCTTCTTCCTAACCCTGTTCTCTAATTAACAAATAGATACTTTCCAACCTAGTTCGAAGCTGTAAAAACAAACTTCTGGGTCACACATTCATTTGAATTCAGATCCTAAAGGAGAGACTCCCTGGCAGATTTGGCATGTGGCAGACTGGGTTTTCTGGAATAGGACTCCTGTTTTTAAAACTCCTTTCAGGTTCCATTTCATCTTGTCATCAGAACTTCATCCTCCTAAGATTTTACAGTTCTCTAAAACAACAGGCTCTTCAAGTTGTTGCCTGCTATCTGGAAGCCTCTGACATCATTTCCAAGTAGGTTTCTTGGGACTTCTTCAGACTGTCCTATAATCCCCTAAAAGGGAGAATGACAGTCTTATACTACTGGCTATAAAGCTACATGTGATAGTAAATAAAAACAGAAAATAGTACATATTCAGAGAACCCAATCTGCCACAAAATGATAAAATTGGTGATGTGAAAGGTTCTTTTTATAAAACACTAACTAGTAACTGTCAAGCTTTTTAAAGCCAAAGATTTTCCTCACCTGAGACAAAAGCTTAGCGTAGCAGTACCCTAACGTATAATAAAGCCAAAAACAGAACTATTCTGATTAAAAGAGAACTCTCCCCCTCCTCTTTTAAGTACTTACTAGGGTACTGTTTGGTTTGAATATGAACTGTCCCTCACAGGCTCATGTGTTGAATGTTTCTCCCCTAGCTGGTAGCACTACTTTAGGAGGTTCTGGAAACATTAGAAGATAGAACCTAGTTGGAGGAAGCAGGTCATTATGGCATGCCTTTGAAGGTTATGCGTGATCCTCAGTCCTTTCCTACCTCACTCTCTGCTTTCTGTCTGTCCTAAGATAAAAAAGCTTTCTTCCCCAACATGATCCTGCTGCCATGATACTCTGCCAAGCCACCATGGACTGAAACCTCTGACACTCCTTTAAGTTGTTTATGCCAGGTACTTCATCAAGCAATGATAAAACTGACTAACACAGGCACTGAATGTTTCCCGGGAAATCTCACCAGAGACCATATCCTCAACATAAATGAAATCTTAAAAGAGGTTCCTCCCTTCAGTAACTAGCTCCTAAGATGTCAGCCTCTAATTTACAAGCAAGATGCTTTATCTCATTACAGTTTCATAGGGTGAAATGTCCTCTTATTGCTTAAATATAGCATTTTACTAAAATTAACATAATATTATAATCTGGAAATATTGTGGCTTTTTTGTGTATGGTCAAAATCTAAAGTGAGTATCTACATCCAACCTCCTCATTTTACAAGAAAAAAAAAAAGATTCTAGGGAAGTATAGTAACAGTTATGTTTAGAAACTTTCCCTTGATCTAGTACAATGTGCTTTCTGCTAGAACATATTGCCTCTAAAGATCCCTTTTTGACTGCTTCAGGTTCTGCAAGTTCATTTCTTCCTGAGATGTTTCCTCAGTGAATAGGATGCTTCTCTTGTTGTCCCCACTGGTATGTTATTCCCAAGTGAATATTGGGATAAAAGATTTATAGCTGAAGAGTTAAATCTTACTTAGTACTTTGTATGTGCCCTTGTATTTAATATTTCTGAGCTAGACCAGACCTAAGAGGTATGCAGACTGGTACTTTACACATGAATAATTAAACACCAAAAACTCTGAATTAAGAAGTCTGTACTTAAAAACA